GGTGGCCAGTGATCTCAATTTAAAAAGCCACAGTTTACAAATGTTTGACTTATGCTAGACAACAAGTTAAAGACATGAGTCAATATTTGTAGTGCTTTTATGTCTTTAATATGTTACAGCTTGCATGCATTCATACTCACACAAAGAGCCTCTGGGAGCCTGTCAGGCCTCCAGCTGTAACCTAGTGATCATTTCGTTGTGCTCAGATGCCCTCTACAGGTCAGCTCTTGTAACATTGGGGGTGACAAACACGGGTGCTCTGTGCACATAGTATTAAAGTAGTAATTATTTTCCTGCAAACACCAATGCAGTATCATATAATGCATTTTTTATTAATTTCTATTCATGAGGACATGATACAGTTATCTCACAAGGAAAAAGAAATCTGGATTCAGGGCCAAACTAAAACGTAATCGCTTCTAAGCTGGGCTGAATCCTCGGCTCAGGTAATTATTAGGTAACTGCAGCGCTTTTAACTCACAGCGAGAATACAAGAAGGGTTTGAGTTCTTTGGCCGGGGACTTTATCTCTGTACCTTTATAGGTTCTCTCCCTTTACACATGCATGTTAGAGTAACGTGTAATTCTAAATTGGTCATAGGTGTGAATGTGAATATGAGTGCTTGTCTCTCTGTGTTAGCCCTCCGTGTTGTTGTCCTCTGCTTCTGGCAGCTGGAACAGACTCTGCCTTGATGCTGAATCAGTCAGGAAGAAAAGGGATGCACTGCACAGTTTTGTATTTTTCGTACTGGAGCTTTCCTCACACATAATAATCGACTTTAAATTTAAATTTTACAATACATGAACATATTTACACTGAAATACATGGAAGGAGGTGCAAGTATGTAATGCAACTAATACCAGCTTAATCTTATATGGAAACTTGTTTTTGCTACTGAAAAGTCAAAATAAGTAACAAGATTGTAACTTTGAATTTTGACTTATGTATGGCAAAAAATATATATTTTGTACCAAATCTTTTTTTTCCCCAGTGGGACAAAAAAAAAAAAAATCCATAATCTTCAAATTTTACTAAAGTGATTTTTCCACATTACAGAGCTGGAGTATAAGGAAGGCCAAAAGAATTGTGCATTATACAGGAAGGACAAGTTGAATGATCTTTGTCCTTTTGCAGAAGTTTGATAGACAGAAATCAACCTGAACCACCAAAAGCTGTCTGACTTCAGCCTGCTACTACAGAAAATAGTATAGGTGCTAGAAAGACTAACCCAAGTCTATGCCAGGTACATGGTTTGCAACATGTTTCTACACCGATTTCATAGATGCACAGAAAAGAAAAAGGGTCCAAAGAAGTCAAAGCTCCAGCAACATTTGCAGTATAAAGAACAGCTTTGTGATTTTTACCAGCCTGCTTCATCAGGGTAATCTTAATACTACAGGTGTTGTTGGAGCTTTGACCTCTTAAGACATAAAAACTTGAAACGAGGTAATGAGGACATCACCCATACACTGAGTGTATCAGGGGTGTCAAATGCAGGGCCCTGGTAACACGAACCGTTACACTACAGGACAGCAGCGACATCTTTAACTTGTTCATAAAATCCATAAACATCACTGTACATGAGTGAAAATGGGTCAAAGTTATTGTTGCTTTTGTTAGTTACAACAGCTACATGTGAAGGTTTTGTGCTTTTGCAGGTCCACTGCGGTGTTTAATGCGGGTTTCGCTCCAATCATCCGACTGTGGATCAAAATGGGCTGCCGGTGACTACAATGACTTTGACACCCCTGACTTACATTCAAGTCCCCAACCTGTGGGGTGGTTTACAGTTTCCACTGCCTTCGATCCATCGCCCTTCTACACGTGGAGAAACTGAAACATTCAGTTGTTGTCGTACAGCATCCCTGCCTGTCTCAACCAGGTTTTGCTTTCTGTAATCATTCCTCATGTTTACACTGGTCATTAAGGACGTGTTCACACCATGTGTGCATAGTGCTCACAATGAACCAATACATACAAAAAAAAGGGACATTCAGACAAATGCACAACCTGATTTTCCACTTAGCGTAGGCACAGGTTGTTGGATTTAAGCAATCCTCTTCTTAAATGAACTTTCAAAACCTTCAAAACCCAGTCTCTTTGTTTCCCTGAAAAGCAGTTCCACCCTGAGCTCAGGCAGATATAGAAATAAGTGAGCTGCCAACAAAAGAGCTTGTCTTTCAAGAGGACATCCTCTTTGAAATGGGGACAGCTGAAGGCTCATTTTAGCTTCAGTTTTTTGACTGGAAGGGGAAAACTGGGGCTTTTGTCCAACATCGCTTACAATAAAAACACATCATGCGTGATTTAAAGGTCAATTCTATGTCTTGTGAACTATTAAAATGAAGCCTGGCCTCTTTTTTGTCATCACTAAGCATTAACAGGAGGAACGACTGTGAAAAGCAAGAACTCTTTTGGTTTTTTTTCAATCGAAGACTTGAGAAATGAACCCATGTTTTTAAACAATCAGTATACAGTACAGACACGGAGCCTAACAAGTTGCTGCTTGAAACAGCTTAAATAATCCGAGTGAGACGGTTTGTTTACTCCTGAAAACAACTGAACCTCTTCAGCTGTCAGCAACTGTGCAAACACTTCCCGTCTCCACCTCCTCACCCTGAGAGTCATAAAGTGCAGCCCCAGAAGCGCCTCCGGCTGCCGCTTCTATTTCAAGGCCCGTTGACATTGATAATAATTAGCCCTGCCATGGCCAGCAGCATTACCACAGCCACCTTCATCATTTTCTTCTGCCTCCACCTGCTATGATGCTTCTTCAGCTCCTCCTCCATCCGCTGCTTCCTGGCTCTCTGGTCCTTCTCTCTCTGCAGCTGCTCCCCATAGTGAGCCTGATAAAAGGCATCAAAATCAAATATGGGCCTCCCTCCAGGTTGGGAGAACTGTCTGGCTCTCTGCTGAGGTTTTTGTTGGGAGCCCGTGGATCTGCTGGAAGCCTCCTTGCTGGAGGGTCTGCCTGCATTTTGGATGTCTGCCCGGCTCAGGATGCCGCGGTCGTACTTCCTCCTCAGGCTGATGTTTCCCAGCACGGTGTAAGCCTCGCTGATATCAGAGAAGCGCTGGGTGGCCTCCTTGCTCCCGGGGTTCTTGTCAGGGTGGTAGATGAAGGATTGCTTGTAGTAAGCCGTCTTGATCTGAGACTGCGTGGCACTGAGAGACACTTTGAGGATGTCATAATAGGCAGTCCTGCTCCTGTGCAGCAGAGGAGCGTCTTCTGACCTCCAGCTGTAGCTTCTAGCTGCTGTGAAACTTGACTTCAGGGCGTCATGGAGCAGATTCAGACATCTCAGTCCGTGTCCACTTCCCAGCCTGTCTGATCCAGGATCTGCCAAGATGAAGGTAAGCGTGCAGAGAGCTCGGCGCTGTTGGGGGGACCTGAAGGCGTCAGGGTGGATGGAGACAGCTGCTGTCGTCCACAGTCTCATCCTGCAAAGCAGCAGCTTCTTCTGGAGGAAAAGAGCAGCTTTATGAGCTCGCAGGCTCCCCGTGTTTTCTAAAAATTCGGTGAAACCGGAGGCAGCCGCACTCTCCAACACCTGACTCCCGCTTTCCTTCACTGTGGAAACTTTCTCTGACCTGAGAAGTGTTTCTGTGCTTTCTGAAGCTGACTGAACTGCACGTCCACACTGGACTGATTTCTCTGTAACCCGACCGGTAACGAAGGCATGGTTTGTTATAAGACACCCGGGACTTCCTCCGGGGCACACGGCTCGACTCTGGCTGGTTTTGAGAGCAGACAGCCGGTAAACTCCGTTCCCCAGCCTTTGACCGACCTCTGCCATTTTATCGAGCAGGGGCCGGAAAACAGCTGCAGCATCCGGCGCGTGAGAGAAAGAGGACCCAATCAGAGTCAATGTTTACAGGAAGTAGTCAAACACAACCGACCAATCATTTAGCAGAGCACCAGTAACATAAAGATCAACATTAACACTTTATTTCTCGTGTAAAATTAAAGGAAATTAGGACAATTGATTATCTTTATCTTCTACAATGTAAAAAAAATTGAGAGAGATTTAATTTAAGTCCTTTTCTTTTAATGAAATGACAATTTCTTATTCTTAAAACATTATTTTTTATTTTCTTTTGTAATGTAAAAGACAGAGTAGCTACCCATGCAACAGCGTCACAACCTTTGATAAGATAATTCCAACTTTGTTACTGTGTGATTAATTAAACGTGAATGTTATAGAGGAAAGGGTTTCTATCTCTCTGGATGCAAAGTAAGACGGATAAGAGGATTTCATGAATGAATTAGTTTCTGCATAAAGTTCCTGTTTTTGTTGGAGTCAAGAGGAATGAGAACCTGGATAAAGGTGCAAAAAATAGACAATAAATCATATCACAAAGATGTAGCACGATGAACAGATATATTAAAAATAAACTGTAAGTTGGTGATGATATGGAGGGCCAAAAATGATTATAATTAGTGATTATAATAATGTAATAAATATAGTATTAAAAATATGGCAATAAATCTGATTTAAATCTGATTTTTTTCATTACAGTTAATCTACAAATATTATTATTTGAGATTTATCTCAAAATGTTGCCCTCTCAAAATCAACAGCAATAATAAAAGAATGTCCTAGATTAAAGTCGAAAGATCCAAGATCCAGATTTTAAGTTGAAGTAGTAAGTATTGCAAATTTGCTACGAAAAATAATGTATAAGTATTGGGACCACATTCAGAATAAAGTATTAGTCGTTTTTTTTTCTAACAATCTATTCTCAATGAATTTAAAAAAATGAACTTCCAGTTCGACTTCAATCTTTTTTTACTAGCATTTCTGATTTTGAGAATTAAGTCAAAATTTGAGATAATAGTACTATGTTAGGATCAAAGTAAAAATGTATATTGATAATAAAAAATGATCTTTTCATATGTTTTCATTTATTTTATTTATTTATTTATTTTAGAAAGCTTAGGGTGGTCGGCACGGCAGGTCAGAGGGTGGCAGTAAAGCGCTCCAACGTTCCAAACGGTGCAAAAGAAGAAGAGGCGTGCCGTCGCTTGTGAATGACGTCAACATAATTCACGTGTGGGTCTTTTGCTACCAGGCAGCTTGTTTATTAAGTAAAATTACTCCCGTAACATAACGACTGACAAGGAGACGCGAGCATGGCGTCCAGCTGTCGACGACCCGAACACTCAGCTCCTCCAGATGTGGTCAGTCGGACGGTTTATTCTTTTTTTTTTTAGCTTTTGTTTTCTGCCGGTGCTTCTTCTACAGGAGCATTTTAAATCTATAAATGGCTCTTTAAAGGCCTCCAGCTGAAGCAGCTTTAAAGACATGGTTTAAATGGTTGTTTAGTGAACATAATTTGTTTTTTTCAAAGGATGTGATTTGGTGAGCTGTGTGTTGGTCTGGTTTAAATGATGCTTGAAGCACCAGAGAAGCAGCTGCAGGGTTGTAGGAGTAAACTGAGGTGTTACTGATCTGTCAATCTGATGTGCTCTAATCTCTGCAGTTCTACAATGAAGAGGAGGCCAAGAAGTACTCCCAAAAGTGAGTGTGGATGTAACGATACTATGTTTGTGACTACGTTACATGTTTATATGTAACACACAGCTCTTTTTTTATCCAGTGTCTCAGTGTTTCTGTCCTTTGACATAATTAAACTGTGCGCTTCATTTAGTTTTTTTTGTTAGGGTTGCATTTCTAACATAAAGAATCTAATCTCAGTAGTTTTATTCCAACCCCTTTACTGTCTGCTGCACTTTATATATACATTCTGTATATGATTGAGACACTTCATTTAAACCATTTTTATTCTGCCTTCGTGGCTTTTTGACTGATGTTTTTTTATGTTTAACTGGAAAGCGTTTGGTTTTAGGACTAAATGAGCAATCCGTTAATCTGTATCAAACCAGGTACAGTGGGTTGATAATGAGAACTCATTAGTTGCACCTCTGGGTGAATGCTCATTACTGCACAGTTGTTCAGTGTATAAATTAATTTGAAGACCTCAGGAAAGGATACATTTTCTTGACTAAATTTAAAGATGCCCCGTGTTTAGCCTCTTTCATCCCACCTTGGCTAACTTACTTTGATGTGGGACACTGACCAAAGATTCAAACACCTAAAACTCCTTTGGGTCAAACATATAACAACTTAAAGAGTCTTTGTTTGTGGCTGTCATGTATGAACCACCCTTCCTCTTTCAAAAAAAGGGGTATAGCTGTGTCATTAGCCCCTTTCCCACCTGATTCAGACGGATTTACAGTAAAACAGAATAGAGAACAGTTTTATGCCTGTCCGTTAGCAGCAAGTTGCCTGATTTTGTGTTCATAAGCGAGAAAATTAAGTTAGCATATGCCAAAAAATGTTTTAATAATATAAAAGATCTGAAATCTTGTTGTGTTTTGTTGCTTCTTAGCTCTCGAATGATTGAGATCCAGACCCAGATGTCAGAGAGAGCTGTGGAGCTTTTGAGCCTGCCAGAGGGACAGCCCTGCTTCTTGTTGGATGTTGGGTGAGTGAGTGGCTGAATTTACTTATAGCAAGTGCATTAAGTTAGAGATGTAATATGGTAGTACATATTTACTCTTACTAATGAATGCACGTTTAGAACTAGCTCCAATCAAACTTATTGAATTCTTTATTAGTAATAGAAAAAAAAAGAAAAGAAAAAAGAAGTAAAGCATTTAAGGAAATCCCTGAAAAACTGAGTTTTGAGAAAGTGGCATTTTCCAATAGTTTCTGGGATATTATCTTTATCCTCCAAGAAGCCTCTTGCTCAGGGGATGGCGCAGTGCTTTTAGTCTAAAAACTTGGGAGGTGGGGGATGCAAACATTTATGATTGGCTGTGGAGGGTTTTGTACCTCCCAGATTTATTTGAAGCACCATTTTTTTTCGTGGTACTTAAAGGTTGAAATGTGGCAAAAGTCAGAATGTCTGCTGGTGTTGTAGAAAAGTCATTGTTATGAGTTTTAGTTTGAACATAACTCATTGTTACGGTATGTGACACAGTAATCTGATGTATTTGTGATGAGAAACAATCTGGTCTGTGCCTCTCAGGTGTGGCTCCGGTCTCAGCGGAGATTACCTGTCAGAAGAGGGACACTACTGGGTCGGAGTCGACATCAGCACCGCGATGTTGGGTTCGTTTGACACTCAAACTTTATAGCACTCATGATATACGGAATATATCATTACAAATTTGTACATGTGCAGCTAAATACTGGCATAATCTAACACACCTGAAGGAAATGAACAGTCAGCCTCCTGTTTTATTGATGTCCGTGTGTTAAAACGTAATGTTTTTCCCAACATATGGTGCCAAAGCTTGACTATATTCCAAAAATATTCCTAAAGTCTGGCTTCAGACTGGAACTAGATGAGTTAAAGGAAGACATTGTTAGCTTCAGGACATCCAATACATTCACACACTTATAGGTAGTCATAAAACTAGAGTATAAAATGCTCAGAGTGTGCAAAATCATATATCTCGCCACAATACACCACGAGCAGTCTAAACTGTAAATACAAGGCAGGAGGGATCCACGCTTTAATGTCATTTAGGCCAAATTCTGACCGTGCCATCCAAGTGCTGCAGCAGAAATTGAGACTTATCATCACCAGGCAATATTTCTCAAATCCAGTTGTGGTGAGCTTATGTACATTTTAGCCTCAGTTTTCTGTTCTTAGCAGACAGGTATGGCACCAGGTGTGGTGGTCTGCTGGTGTAGCCCATCTGCTACAGCTCAGACCTTTGTGCGTTTCAAAATACTCTCGATTTACTGTTGCTTTTCTATCAAGTCCAAGCAGTCAAGCCATTCTCCTCTGTCTTCAACAGGATGTTTTAACTCTGAACTGCTCCTTATTGGATATTTTATTTTTCTGACCTTTCTTCGCAAACATTAGAGGTGGTTGTTCGGGGAAAATCCCAGCAGTTTCTGAATACTCACACCAGCCCTGATGACATCAACAAAAATGCTTAATTCAAGTCACGTAAATCACCTTTCGTCCCAATTCTAATGCTTAGTGAACTTCAGCTGATCTTCTTGACCAGGTCTACATTCCTAAATACATCGAGTTGCTGCCATGTGATTGGCTAATGAAATTTAAGCCTAAAATGTATTTTAAGCATGATAACAGATCCAATATGCGGTTACGGTTGGTTGTTTTTTGTGCATTTATGTCACCACAAGAAATACATAAACTCTAAACAAATGTAATTCTCTTCTGTGTGACAGATGTTGCACTGGACAGAGAGGTGGAAGGAGACCTCGTACTGGGAGACATGGGCCACGGGATGCCGTTCAGACCTGGTACCTTTGATGGTTGCGTCAGGTAAAGAACAAAGGATGCTTATAAGTCAGGCTCTTCCTGGGAATTTTGAATGATTTATGACCCCTTTAAAAAACTCTTTTCCTGTTTCAGTATCTCTGCCCTGCAGTGGCTTTGTAATGCAGACAAAAGGACGCACAGTCCTCCAAAGAGACTCTACACCTTCTTTAGCACCCTGTACTCATGTCTGGTAAGATTTTATCACTCACATATCCAGGAAGCTTATTTTTGATGAAAACATTTTATAACCTCTTTTTGCTCTTTCAGTCAAGAGGCTCACGTGCAGTCTTTCAGCTTTATCCTGAGAACTCGGAACAGGTAAAAGGGGGGAAAAAACCCTCTTTGTGTTTCCATGAAGGCTCTGTGTCAGCAGAGGAACAGCCTGAAGGTTTCTCTTCACTCACTTACCACCTTCCTCTTTTCTCTCCAAAGCTCGAGCTGATAACAACACAGGCCATGAAGGCAGGTTTCAGCGGAGGCATGGTGGTGGATTACCCCAACAGCGCAAAAGCAAAAAAGTCAGTATTTACTGGAAGTGGCTCCTTTTTATTTTGACGTCTGCAACCGATTCCTTTCTAATAGGCTGTGAAATTGGTAGCCGGGTGCTCACAACACAGGGCTAATTAGAACAGGGGGGACTTGGCTGCATGATGTATGATTACATATTGGAGCTGTTTGGCTGGTTTACGTTTTCTTACACACTCGCTTCCTGTTTATCTCCAGGTTCTTCCTGTGTCTGTTTGCCGGCGTAGCAGGAGTTCTTCCCAAAGTAAGGAAAGCTGTGGATGTTGTGGGTTGCTGCCTTTTGTTTGAACCAGATGATGATCATGTTAATGTCTTTTTCCTGTATTTCAGGGACTGGGATCAGAAACGTCAGACAAAGCTGTTCCAAACCAGGTTCAGTACTCAGGACAAAGGTAAAGACGTCCACTGCAGGCGATGCTGCCAACCCTGAGCAATTAGACTGTTTCATAAAGCTGTTTGCATGGGTTGATATAACAGCTGTTAATTCAGTTTATTTCAATCTCTGGTGTTTTTACAGCTTTTTGTGTGTTTGTGTTTCATGTAGACATATGCAATGTGTTTCAGCCCGAGGCCACTTGAGTGTTTTCTAATGTGTTTTTCTGCTGATTGTTCATTGTTGACTGCCGAAGGAAAGAATGTATGGGATTTTAACAACCTTACATTTTTTTTTATTTCCCGTCTGTGTGGTATTAGCTTTCAAAGGATTTGCTACATCTCTTTTTTTTCTGCAGCAAACAATATGATCAGTAAAGATGAATGATGTCGGGGACTGTTTGCTACAGCTGTAATTTATTCTCATCGGGATAATTGGTGATTTGCTTATGATTTGTGATAACGCAGCCGTATAAATCATCCCATTTATTACTTTGCAATAGGATAGTGAACTGGTCTCAGCTTTGATGAGTGCAGGTTCAGTCTTACCTGCCTTTATGAAGCCAAAAGACCAAAAGAAATGACAGAAAGGGTCGTTGTCCTGCTTGACTTAAAACCCTGTCAGGCAGGTTTTCCTCCCTTTTACAGAGTAAGACTCAAGTGACTGGATATGTGAGATGTTTTGCATCTAATGCTAAGTATTAATATTCATTTGTCGCTGTGAAGATGTCGTTTCAGAAACATGAAGGGAAAATCGCTGAAGAAGGGACGAGACTGGATCCTGGAAAAGAAGGAGAGGAGGAGGAGACAGGGACGGTGTGTGCATGAGTGTATTTTCAACTCTTAGAGGACGAAAAATTGAATTCATTATGCCGAGCTTAAAGCTCTGAATGTCGTAATATACTTAGTTTAGCTTTAACTGGATTTTACCTTTTATTGCCTGTATTTTATAATGCACCTTAACTGGCTTCTCTGTCTCCGCTGTGTGTTTGTTAACCTGCAGGGAGGTTCGAGCCGACACTAAATACACTGGACGTAAGCGAAGACCTCATTTCTAGCTCTGACTCATGCAGCTGCGCCTTCATTAGCCCTCCTCTGTCACACACACACACACACACACACACACGGAACCACCTCTGGAACTGCAGAGTGTTTGGACTCTGATTTATTTTTCAGCCCTTTAATTCAAGTGGATGTGATGCAAGAGCAAAATGCAATTACAGCCAGTCGTTTTTATATTTGGTCGAGTGTTCCTCGCTAAAAGCGGTGAGATTGCACTCACAATGTTCAGTTTGGCTGGAAGTACATGAACAAATGTGTGTGTACTCACAGCTGGTGGCAAAAACCACAGTGAAGAAAAAACAAAACAGTATAAATAAATCAAAGCAATTTTATAAGTGGCCATATCTTTGTGGTTTATTGTATTATCTGCAATGTTTTCTCAATTAAAACTAAACAAAAAATGTATTGAGGTTGTTTAATTATTTATTTTTAGCTCATAAAAGAAATTAAAGAAAGAGCCACAAAATGAATTTGCCTTTATTAGGGAGCTATGATTATAAAAATGACTTAATAATGAAAAAAATGGTAGTTAATCAGGTTAAAAAGAAATAAACTTCAGGAGCTGCGTTTACAAGGGAGAAACTGAACTAGCCTCATTTGTAATGGAGGAAAATTATTGTTTCTTGCAGCTAAGAAAAAATAAATTTTTGTGCACAAGTTTTAAGTCACCCCTCATTGTTGCATATTTTGCTTCCAAGGAGCCAGACTTTCTTGAGGTTTTGAAGTGGTCTTCTGTTCTCCAGACTTTCTGTTGGTCTTTTGGGGTTTTTTTGGACACTTGGCATTTCTTTGCTTTTGTTTAGCTTTTTGAGTCCAGCCCTTTTTATCTGACCACTTTCAGAGGAATGTTCTTTTTATTTTTTTTAAATGCTGACCTATGAATCATTCAAGCATAGGAAGGCATCTAATTCAAGACATGAACAACTTGTCTGTACATAACAGACAAGTTGGCAAAGAACCAATTTTATATTTGTTACTAGCAACCCATTGCTAAAAAAAACCCCAAACTTAAAATGTGTTCCCATTTCTTTAGCTGAATCTATGAAGAACATCAAAGATAACAGTTTGAGAGGTAAGAAGATTCCCCGTAAAAAGATCTACGCATAAAAAAAAAAACTATCTGCAGCACTACCTGACAGTCATGTCCTTATGAAAAATGGGCTAGGATCTAAGCTACTGTTTGCTGAAGCTTCATCAGAAGCTCAGTGGAAAGGTGGCTGTCGAGAAGTTGTTCTTAGGTAAAGGAAATGGGGAGAAAAGGGTGTGGTATGCCAAACTACACAAGGACAGTCATCAATATGTACGGAGGAGGTCAGGAGAGATGCACAACAGTGAATGTCTACAGCAGTCTGTAAAACGTGGTGTTGGCAATTTTGTCAAAATTGATGAAATTATGAATGCAGAAATGTACTGTGAGATTTTGATGCAGCGCGCAATATCATATGGAAAGCCTCTGCTTGGCACAAATGGAACACTTATTGGTCATGGATTGGCCTCCCCAGAGCCCGGACCTCAATTTTACTGAAGCAGTGTGGGAACAACTTGACCGAGAACAAAACAAAAAGGCAGCCAGCATCCAAAAGAAGAGCTTTGAATGTGATTTGAGAAGCTTGGAGAACTATTCCTGAACACTCTTTAAAGAAATAACAAGAAAGCTGCCTACGAGAGTTCAGGCTGTGTTGAAGAATAACCGTCGTCGTACTAACTACTGACTTTGAAGTTTGTTAAAATTGTACAAGCTCTGTTTTTGCTTTATATACAGTATTTCACATTTCAATAAATTGCTGCACCATGTTGGCACCATTTTTAGTGGTGTATGGTACCTGCAGGGATTATGCCTGGAAAGGACCAGTGACACAGACTCCAGCCCACCCAAGAGTTGAATAAATGCTTAAGAAAAAACAGCTGGAAGATTGTGATAATGTCAAAATTTCTACTAATACAGAGTTATTTTTAATGCTTCTTTGGACCTTGTCTTTATTTTAATTTGCTCAGGAAACAACAAATATTGACTAAAGGGGGAAAAAACAGGATTGTTGTAGTGAGATTGAGTTTATCAAGCATCTAAACACACAAAAATAAATTCTTTGAATTATATTTTTTCAAATGGAGCTTTAAATACAAAAGTATGTTATTGAAGGCAATATTTCTGGGTCATTTCGAGCTCCTTGTACTGTTGCCATATCCGTCTGTTTCAACAGGGGTCGCTGTTCGCTTTGGCACAATGCAAAGTACCTGGGCGTTATCTCCGAACCTGCTCACCAGAGTCAACACAATTTCCCCCCTCAGGGAGGCTCCCAGTGCTTTTGGTTTTTGTGTCAAACTAACCTTCATGCAGTCGGACTAAATATGCAGCCAAAATAATAAAAGAGCTCCGAAAAGAATAAAGAAGAAAAAAAATAAAATAAAGTCAATTAGTCCGGATTGAGGAAGTTGTGGGTGAGTAATGGGTTAACGGCGGAAGGCCTCGCCTCACCTTTATTGCGCGTCACCCAGCTCTGTAAAGTGGTCTCACCATCCCAGCATCCGAACCGAAGGGGGGAAATCACCGCCCCTTGCTGCCGCCAGACGCGCCTCTTCCTCTCGGTCGAGCTCACGTCTACCCGTTGGTCTCCGCCCCGCCGCTCCATCACCGTCACATACACCCAGAAGACAACGGGAACTGAGGGAATAACGACAATTTACCGGCGAAACGGGGAATCATGAAGGACCGCATGCAAGAACTTAAACATGTAAGTTTGTGTTTGTGTGCTTTCTGCTCAGCATCCACCTGTTAATGCGAACAGACGGGCTTTTTTTATGGAGCGATGTGTGCTCAGAAAGCTCCTGGCCACAGAGCGAGGTGCGCGGAGTGAGCAACAGTTGTGACTCTCGGGTCCTGATGGAAGCTCAAATGTAACGTTTTATTGTAGGAAACGAGCGCGTATTGCTGCCATGGTTTGCTGTGCGTAAATCGGGATGAAGCGCAGCAGACAGGAATGGTTTTAGATGTTAAAAACAAAGTAAAAGTCATTTTCTCAATGGCCCCTTTGATCTTTTTGTCAGTGTTGTGAAATGAGTTTAAAGGCTCTTTGGTGCTAAAGAAAGGGTCATCGGCTAAGACTTTGTACTTAATAGCATCAAATCTTTCTGGTGTCGCTGATTAATCCACTGCTGGTTTCCTTTTAGGATTTTTTTGGAAATATGCCACCAGTGATATTAATTAATGTGTGCAGTGTGGTTTGATCGATCTGACCAACTATGGGTGTGTGACTCGAGTGGGGAAATTGGTCCCAGCTCGCCCATTCCACCTGTGAAATGTCCGCCCTCTGCGCGTCACAGGGGTCTTATCCAAGAACCTTTAAACACCAACAACAAGGAACGCAACGTTTTGTCTTTCAAACCCCTGCAATGTGCTTTATTAGGGATGTAGTCTTGTGGATATGAACTCCGACACCATTTATTCTTACCACTGATGAGAAATAAAGCCTTGAAATCTTGAATTGTACCCTTTGACTTTCTGCCAGCTGTTTTTTTTTCTTTTCTTTTCTTTTTTTTAAAACAATTTTTAATTGTTTAAAAAAAGCTAACGTGGTAACAAGAAGACGTGTGATTGGATGGCTAACAGGTTTTTGGCTTGACTGATACAGAAGTACAGCCACTGAGTAGCATCCTCCACAGGAATGTTAGTTTCAGCTTCATATAGGCTACTTTCTGTGTGTGTGGTGGTAAAGTGGCCATTGTCAGATCTGGGTAATTGGCAGTTAAGCTGAGGAGAGGGGAAACAATTTGCAGCTCTTCAGTTTTCAGTGAAGATCTAGCTATGAATTGGTCACAAGGGAGACAACCCAGCCTTGCCAAGTGTGTGTGTGTGAGAGAGAGAGAGGCGTGTCTTCAGCCTGCCATGCTATGTCTTTGGAGTGCTGGAAAGATGCAGTTGTATCATTGAGAAAGAGAAAGATGGAGAAATAGTCCACATTTTCCTCACCAGCTTCAGTGTGAATCATCAGCCAGTCCACAAACACCCTGATTCTATTTTCTTTTATCAGTTTTGATCATATCCGTCGTGTCTGAGAAATGGCAGCTGGAGAAGCTCAGCCAGACCTATTTCAGACAAACTGCACCAAATAAAACTGGAATAAATTGCAAGTCACAGAGAGCTGCTTCCCATCAGCATTAGATTAATATTGGTTTCCTCTTCAGCTTCAAGTTAATGTGGCTTCTTGATTCTTATCTGTCTCTGAAGGGCCGGCTGTAGATGGGATTGTGTCAAAAACCGAACAGTAAGCAGTGACAGTAATTTAGTTTCTGATTACTCTATAGTTACTTTAAACTCATTTTTATATTAAATATGTTTACAAGTTTCCAGGACCCAAAAAACCCTTGTGTGGCTGACCAATCGTATAGACGAAAGATTATTAGTATAATAATAGAAAAGCGAAGAAACAATTATCAGTCGTATTTATGTGATAAACGATCCATTTTTAATCTATCAGCGCCCTGACTTTTTCAGAGCTCCAGCTTTCGTGTAGAGATGTGTTTAGAGAAATATTTTGCAGACCTTTGCAATTAAGTCTGCCGAGCTTGAGAGCTTGGTCAGTTTATTGCCAACACTTAAGCTCAAGAACAAGAACTTGTAGCCTACTCATTGGTTTGTTTAGCACCCAGTACCTGAAAGTAGCTCTGCAAATAACTGCACTTTTGATATTTCTCCTCTCAGGTGGACAAGACGGGAGAAGATCAAGTTCTATATTGTGCATGCTCATGAACCCACTTCTTGTGGCTTTTCATTATTTTTGCTTTGGATTTTCTATTTCCACTGTTGTATTGGTTTTAATGAGATTTGGGAGTTTCGGGAGGCCACCTTAACACTAGGGGAAATCTTAGATTCCCATGATCCCAGGAACTTTTACTTCAAGATCTCTGTGGACTAGCAGCATAACAGAGCATCCTCGCTTTGGGAATAGAAACTAGAGGAACTCATGATGAACACTCGCTAGTGACTCAGTCAGTGTTGCAACCTATTTAGGCTTAAGTACATTAAGGGAGACATGTGGAGGTTTCTTTCTTAGCCAGCAGTCACCACAACATAAACCTACATAGAGTACTGTGCAGTTGTCTTAAATCACCACTAATTTCTTTATATTTTGTTAGGAAAGTGAGAAATAATTGCAGCAATTTATTGAAATGTGCAAACATACTTGGAAGAGACACAGTCTATAAAGTAAAAACAGAGTTGTAGCTAGCTCGACAGTCTGTATTTGGTATGATCACCTTTATTCTTCAGCAGCCTGAACTCTCTTTTCATGTAATTTCTTTAAGTAGTCTTTGGGTACAGTTGCAGTAGCTCTCTGGGCTTCTTCAAGGACGTTCAAAGCGCTTCATTGGATGTTTGCTGCCTATTGTTCTGTTCTGTTTT